AAAAAAAAAAAAAAAAAAAAGAAGAAATAGATTCAAAGGAGTGGTGTGAGGGCATTTTGGTCTTTTTATATATCATGAACGTTCGGAATGGATTTCAAGTTAAATGCCGAGTTTAAATAATTTTTATAAAATATATTTTTTTTAGAAAAATAAACATTGCCCTAATTCTAGTAAATATATTTCATATATAAATCACTTTTTAATGAGAAAAAATAAAATAAAAATATCTAAATTTTTCTTTAATCCCTCCTTTCATAGCAATAAACCCTTATTTAAAAATGTAATTAATATTGCAATAAAGAAAACTACGGTTATAGTTCATTACATTCTTTTTAACAATTAATTTATTTTTGTCTAATTTGGATATAAAATCTTTGCCCAAAAAGTAAAATAAAATAAAATAAAATCTTTATTGTTTTTTTTAGCTCTTAAAACTTTAATCTTTAACGTAAAAAAATATTTAATTTTAATAACTTAGATCTCATATTAATTGGAGGGGAGAACGTGACATTTTTTAGAAGGACGTGAAAACCTTTATCTGGTAAACATATTTTAAAATCGTGAGGCTGACGGTTGATACGTAATAGGCCAAAACGGATAATATGTGCTAGAAATGGGCTTGAACGGTGACAAATGGTATTAGAGCCCGACATGGGGTAGTGTGTCAGCGCGAACAGTAGCCCTCCAAAGGAGTGGATTGTGAGATCTCACCTTGGTTAGAGTGGTGTAGAAATCTTTCCCTAATAGACTGCATTTTAAAATTGTGAGGCTGACGACGATACATAATAGGCCAAAGTAGACAATATCTACTAGAAGTGGGTTTGGACCGTTACAAATGGTATTAGAGTCAGACATTGAGCAATGTGTCAATGCGTACACGAGCCTCCAAGAGGAGTGGATTGTGAGATCTCACATTGGTTGAAGAGGGTGTGGAAACCTCTCGCTAATAGACATATTTTAAAATCGTGAGACTGACAATGATTCGTAACGGACAAAAGCTAACAATATCTGCTAGGAGTGAGCTTGAGCTGTTACACGTTTAAATCTTCATCTCCCGAACTTAAAATTTAAAAGGGGAACCACTACTAGAGAAGGTAGTAATACTTTAATCTCCGAGCCACATCATGTCGACTCACAACCATAATCTATTCAAATTCTTCAATGATATTGTTGAATTTAGTTCGTAAAGTATACATTATTTTACCTCTCGAGGTAATAAAGAAGTAATCCTTACTTATTAAATTTCCGTGATTGAGACAACACGAATTTAAACGATATCACGATCCGTTTTTCCATCACTTGGTTTTTTAGAAACAAAGTCAAGATTATAAAGCACAGGAACCATCACTACAGAGCTCAAGAAAACAAGCAATGGTCCACAAGTCCAAAGCAACAAAGGCAGAGCTAAATAGAAGAGTCTATTCCCAACGGTGTTCAAAACACAGCCTTTGTCCAAAAGGTCCACCAAATGGTGCTCTGTTAGCACGGACAAGGGCTGCAATGGGGCGCTGATCAGAAGGCTGGCTTGGTTCATGAACTTGATGGACAAGGAATGGCAGAAGAAGGAGAAGATGAAGATGGTTAGGATTGTTACGAACTTTAGAACCAATGTGAACTCCCCGTGCGCGCCGTAGACGGTGTCGGTCAGTGGCTTTTTGATGCTGTATGAGCTGCTGAGGACGGCAGCGAGCCCCGCGCAGAGGAGGATTGAGGTGGTCGCCATGAGGCTTGAACCCATGATCATGTTTCTAAATGTTTGAATTGCGATGATGCTCTTCTTGTCTATGTCCTGGAGAATATTAATTATTTTTAATCTTTGTAATAATCTTAAAAGTACAGTAAAATTTGGTGGGTTGTGAATTGTATTTTTTGGTTGGCTGGGTGACCCGAGCATAAAAGTTTCAACCCATAAATCAAGATCAATGTTTATATATATATATATATATAGATAGATAAATCTAAGATTCTCGATCCTAAAAGAATAAGAAAATTATATGGGATATGATAATAAAAGTTCAATTAGACGACGACTGAAAAGATGATGGTCACATGACTTAGAGATGGTAAAAAAGGAAAATACCGCAAGCATGGTGGCGATCCACGGGCGGCGGACGGCGGCATTAACTCCGATGATGGTGGCGAGTGGCTGAGTCTTAACCTTGTACCATAACCAAGCATGATAAGTGAAGTTTAAGAGAAGACCAAGAGGAATCAATATAACATCCAAATAATAATTCTTCCACTCCATTGTTAGTTTATTTGGAGGTATTGGTTGATTGGGCATAGATATTTGAAGAGGATAATGCATATCTTTAGCCTTTGATTAGTCTTTTAGTCTATAAAAACCAAGTCAAGTACCATTAATATTTAGTTGACTAAATTAAAATTTATCGTGATAAAATACGCAACTATAAAATCACCTTAAATAGGTTTGTAATGAAGGAAGTTCGAGTAAAAGTAGCTCGATTAAGTCTAGGGTTAGTCAGGTCCAAAACCGGTTAGTCAGGTCCAAAACCTAGGTCATTGAGCATTTACCTTGCAAGCAAAATGGTTAATCATTGACCGATGGTAATGTGACCATGTCGCAAGGAATGCAAGAGAAATGTTGGAGCTATCATGTGTAGTAAAAGTAATTTTAAAAAAAATCGTCATTCTATCATTTCTAGTAAAAGTAATTTTAATCATAGGAACCTAGGAAACTCGATTCCTTAGAATTCGAGGGCATAGTTGTACAACCTACAGAACCAATCAGCCCCGAGCAACAGACGGCTAGTTTAGGTACGATGACATCTTTATTAGTAATAACGAGTCGTTAGAGACACCTGATTCTTCATACATGCTATGTTACCCATCAAAAATGTTGGTCATCATTCTGTCATAACTAATAAAACCAATTTTAATCACACAACTGAACCTGAAGGGATCTGTTTCTTAACAATGCTACATGACAACCTCAAATGTGTTGCAGCCTTTACAAGAGATATATAATGCAGTTATGTTAAATCTACTCTCAACACAGAACATAGGTCTCAACCTGCAACCTCGATCGAGATGTTCAGCATGCACATCGGCCAACCGGGAGCGGAGGAGGTCCAGAGTAACCTGAAAGGCCATATAACTAGTAATTAAAAGACGGTAGAGACAAACAACGGTTGTTTTGTTATCGATCAAGCATTCGAATCATGTCGAGATTTGCACATCAATTTTACTTTTTCTTTCTATACAGCACCCTGTTATTCGACAAGTTATTCAATTCCAGGCATGGCCAATGGGACCACAGCAGCTCAAGATAATCCGATTTATTAAGCCCCATCACGAGATCATATATCAAAGTCACAGGCAATGATCTGACAAGTTAAAGAAAGATGGCAACCACAATTTCTAAATATAAATACTCAGCCGACGTATTATCTAATAATGTCACGACGTTGCTTGAACAGGATTTGTTCTATAGATTGTACTACCGTGTCACTGAACTCTAAAACAATAAAAATATTATATGGTAGTAGTTGTAGAGGATTGTTGGGAGAGAGTCCCACGTTGGCTAATTAAGGGGATGATCATTGGTTTATAAGTAATGAATACGTCTCCACTAGAACGAGGTCTTTTAGGGGAACCAAAAGCTAATCTATGAGAGTTTATGCTCAAAGTGGACAATGTCATACCATTGTGGAAGTCTGTGATTTCTAACATGGTATCAAAACCATACCCTTAGTTTAGTCATGTCAATAGAATCCTCAAGTGTTGAACAAAGTTGCTAGCCTCAAAGGTGTAGTCAAAAGTGACTTAAGTATCGAACAAATGGTGTACTTTGTTCGAGGGCTCTAAAAAAAAGAGTCGAGCCTCAATTAAGGGAAGATTGTTCGAGGGCTACATAGACCTCAAGGGAGGATCCATGGTGTACTTTGTTCGA